TATCGGTATGCGAAAATTCGGATTCTTTTATTTGATTCTGCACTAAGTTGTTGTCGAAATTGGTATACAAGTTTGCTTTTTTTGAGAAATGTGATCATATTATGAGTTACTGGATTGATATGGAAGCAGAAAGGAGTTAGTTTGTCATGACTGTTTTGTTAAGATGTTTATGTGATCAATTAGAATTTAGCTAAGAAGCAGCTTCAAATTGCAGATTACTTATTTCGTTTGACATCGAATATGATTTGGATCCAACTTATCGGTTTTACGTTAATTGCTATGTCCTTGCTGTATCTGTGTTCTAGTTTTTGGAAATTTGCCTTGTCTCCGTGTATCATGTGTCCCGTGTCCGAATCTGTGCAACATAGCAATTGTGTAGCGTGTTTTTCATTTTTGTTTTCGAATCATTTGATGAATGCGAGATCAATTTTTTCTTTTGTAAAGTTCGGTTTGATTTGGCATGCTTTGGAAAAGTTGATGAGAAGGTGATATCAGTGCATTAAATTCATGGAAAAGTTGATGAGAAGGTGATATCAGTGCATTAAAGTTCTATTGAATAGTTCTTTTTCCATGATGCCTTTAGCAATGCTTACTGTGAGCGATGATGAGTTCTGGAAAGGAGTTTCACCTCTGGAGTTTGGAGAGTTACCTGCACTCCAAGATGCTGTGACAGTTGTGGGCTACCCTATTGGGGGTGACACGATCTCTGTGACAAGTGGTGTTGTGTCACGTATGGAGATACTGTCTTATGTTCATGGATCGACTGAGCTTCTAGGACTGCAGGTTATGTCTTTTGAGATTTGTCTTGTAAGACTATTCCTATGTACCATAACTACCTGATTATTGACCTACTGTGGCTTCCCGGTGTCCTTTCTACTTGTGTACCTTTTGCAGATAGACGCTGCAATAAACTCTGGAAACTCTGGTGGGCCTGCCTTTAATGATAAGGGAGAATGCGTGGGTATTGCATTTCAGTCTCTTAAACATGAAGACGCGGAAAATATAGGCTATGTCATACCGACACCAGTTATTAAGCACTTCATCCAAGATTATGAGAAGAATGGGGCATATACAGGTTTGTTATGATTTGTACTTCTGACACTACCTTCCGGCAAATATCCCTGGCAGTCCGATGGGGACACATGAGCATTGGGTTATTAATCGTTTTCGTGATTGAAATTCTTCTAACAGGGTTCCCAGTTCTTGGAATCGAATGGCAGAAGATGGAAAATCCAGATCTGCGCATCTCAATGGGGATGAGACTTGATCAAAAGGGTGTCCGTATTAGAAGAGTTGAACCTACAGCTCCACATTCTCATGTTCTGCAGCCATCTGATGTTATTCTTAGCTTTGATGGGGTTAATATTGCAAATGACGGCACAGGTATCTGTTATCTTGATAAAAGAAGTTGGAACTTTAATGTGCATGAGCTTCTGAATACGCGATATTAAGTTATTAACATTCCTTTTGGTGTCAATTCTCTAGTTCCATTCAGGCATGGAGAGCGCATAGGTTTCAGTTACCTTGTCTCTCAAAAATATACTGCCGATAGTGCTCTAGTAAAAGTTCTTCGTAACTCAGAGATACTTGAGTACAACATAAAACTTGGAACTCACAAGCGACTCATCCCAGCACACATTAAGGGTAAACCTCCTTCGTATTACATCGTTGGTGGTTTTGTTTTTGCAGCTGTATCTGTTCCATATCTGCGTTCTGAGGTGCGACCTTCATTTCATACTCCCAATGCTCTCTCTCTCTCTCTCTCTCATTAGTATGTTACCAACTCTTAAACTCTGGGTTTTCATTTATTTCTAGTATGGAAAGGATTACGAATATGATGCTCCAGTCAAGCTGCTGGACAAACATTTACATGCAATGGCGGAGTCTATCGATGAACAGCTAGTTGTTGTTTCTCAGGTTCCCCTCTCTCATCTATTTCTCATGCTTTTCAGTTTTAGACGAAGTATTTTATGCTCTGCTTTCATGGTTATGATGCCTTATATCTTTTTCAAAATTGTGGTAGGTGCTTGTTGCTGACATTAACATTGGATACGAGGACATTGTGAACACTCAGGTTAGAGATATGTTACACTACAATTATGTGATAAAATTTTTGAACTTCCACTTTAACATACTCATTCAAAGCATTTGGTTTCCGTGTAGGTTCTTGCTTTCAATGGTAAGCCTGTGAAAAATCTGAAGAGTCTGGTTAGCATGGTGGAGAATTGTGACGACGAGTACCTAAAGTTTGACCTAGAATACAATCAGGTTCGCTCTCTCTCTCTCTCTCTCTCCCTGCACAGGCTTTGTACTTTTCGTTTGGTGGCTGAATCGCGTAGTTCTCTGTGCAGATGGTTGTACTACAGACAAAAACCGCCAAGGCGTCAACTCTAGATATCCTCCTTACACATTGCATACCTTCAGCTATGTCTGATGACCTTAAGTCTTAAGCCCTGTAAGGAGACCTATTCCCATAGATGAAGTTTAGAATGCTCATAGAAGGAAGGGAGCCGTTTCATTCTCCTACGGAGAACAGAAGCCGGGAATTAATCCGCCATTTCTGTCATAATCAGCTTCTCGAAGTATCTGCAGACGTTCGACCGCGTGATAACGAGGACTTCCCTATGTTATTGTATTCATAGTAGCCAGTTCTTGTTACAGAGCAGAAGAAAGCAGCGAGGAATTGAAGTTCGGTTTTTCCTAGGATTAGTTAGCATCATACTTTCTGAGTTTTGTCAATTTCAGTACCAGCTAAAAACACGTGAGATGTTCATCGTGTAACATTTTTACCGGCTGATTTATTTGAGAATAATACTATACAAGTTGGATGGATTGTACTATAAAATTCAGGGTTGTGTTGACGGAAAATTCTACCATACAACAATGTACGTTATATATGACCTCTTATTGTTTACTTAGGAAATGATTCCGATTTCCGACTTATTGGATAGGGAGGTGCCGATCCCTATTAAAATTCTTCAAATTCTTGACTTCTTATGCGTTTACTCGGAAATTTACTTGGAAATTGATTCCGATTTCCGACCTGTTATGCTTTTTACTAATACATTTGTGAGTTTTATGTTCCAATTCGTTATCGAATGCAAATGCATTCTCCTGATTTTTACAATTCACAGTTTCTTGTGTCCCAAGTAAACTCTTCGAATGCGTTTTTCATTTCAACTCATCCCACCCAAACTCAAAATCATCCCATCTTTTCTTTAAGACAATATTTTTCATTACTCTTTAACATAAGTGAATTTTAACTCAAGTGCAAAGGAAGCACGTCCGCTCTGGGCAATGCAAAATCAACCCACCTTGACTAGACTAATAATAGAGAAATGTTAATGGGACTCTCTCAAAAATAGGCTCTCCATAGACTATTTGTTACCTTATGTTTTAACGTCAATTCGCGTGCCAACATATAAAACATTATGCCAAAGAAGGCGGCAGATAGTCTATGAAGAGTCCCCTTAGCATTCATTCTAATAATATTAGGAAAGTGTTATTCACACACTCATTTTACCTCCCACACACTTTTTTTTTATTAATCTTCAATTTTCTTGATCCGACGACCAAAATTTAATAAAAGCGTGAGAAAAGTAAATATGGATGTGTGGATACAACTACCTAACATTGGGTTCGTTTGGAAATGCTTTTAAAATGACTAAAAATACTTTTAGTGAAATTGATTTTAAAAGAAACACCGGATATGTGATTCTTGCTAGAAAACACTTAAATGCTTTTCAAGGACCCACTTGAATTTTATTGAGCATTGATTTAAAAAAAAATCAATAAAAACGCTTTTGAGTCACTTTAAAAATATTTTCAAACGAGCCAAATAATACCGTAAGCGTGTTGTAAGGTTTATTTAGACCCCAACTCACAACACGTCATAAGAACATTTTCCACCATGTGAATGCGGGACACGTAAGTTATCTCACTAATAATAATAGAGAAATGTTACTCTCTAAAAAATGGGCTCTCTATAGGCTCTTTGTTACCCTATATTTTAATGTCAATTTGTATGCCAACATATAAAACATTATGCCAAAGGAGGCGGTATATAGTCTATGAAGAGTCCCTTTAGCATTCCTCCTAATAATAGTGGGAAAATGTTATTCACACACTCATTTTACCTCTCACACACCATTGTTTTTATTTTTATTTTTTTATTAATCCTTCAATTTTCTTGATTCGACGATCAAAATTTAATAAAAGCATGAGAAAAGTAAAAATGAGTGTGTGGATACAACTGCCTAATATTTGGTTCGTTTGGAAGTACTTTTAAAATGACTAAAAAATACTTTTAGTGAAATTGATTTTAAAAGAAACACCGGATATGTGGTTTTTGCAAGAAGCATTTAAATGCTTTTCAATAATCCACTTGAATTTTATTGAGCATTGATTTCTATAAAAAAAATTCAGTAAAAACGCTTTGAATCATTTTAAAAGTACTTCCAAACGAGCTAAGTAATAATGTAACGTGTTGTAAGGTTTAGGCCCCACTCACATGCTTTTTGTTTTTTTTTTTTTGGATTAATCCTTTAATTTTCTTGATCCGACAACCAAAAATTAATAAAAGCGTGAGAAAAGTAAAAATAGGTGTGTGGATACAACTGCCTAATATTTGGTTCGTTTGGAAGTACTTTTAGTGAAATTGATTTTAAAAGAAACACTGGATATGTGATTTTTGCAAGAAGCACTTAAATGCTTTTCAATAATCCACTTGAATTTTATTGAGCATTGATTTCTAAAAAAAAAAAAAATTCAGTAAAAACGCTTTAAATCATTTTAAGAGTACTTCCAAACGAGTCAAGTAATACCGTAAGCGTGTGGTAAGGTTTAGGCCCCACTCACAACACGTCATAAGAACACTTTCCACCAAGTGAACAGAGGAGTTGTCCCTCATCCTTCGTTTTCTTGTCCGCTTATGACTGTCGTCTACTCTGTTTACTTACCGCGCAGCTTCGACGAAGGCCACCAATCCATTGACTCCCCCAGGTGTCTCCGGTCGGCCCGAAGAAAACCCATTTTTTATGACGACCCACCGCCCCGTAACCACCCCCTTTCCACGCCTTATCCATTATATATTCAAAACTAAAAATCCCAAACCACAAAACCCACCATTTCTGCCACCACTATGTATATCCAACACATCAGTCCGGCCTGTTCCACCACCGTCAACGACGCCCTTTCCCTCCCGCCCGTAACCCATCCCCTCAGCCCCGAGCTCATCAATATATCGGCTTCCGGACTGGCCGACCAAAACGGCGGTTGTGGGAACGATTTGTTGTCTGTCGTTTCGGAGCCGCCGATGTCAGTGCCGAGGTGGCAGAGGGTGGGGAGAGTTGTCCCGTCAATGGACGCGGTGGTGAAGGTGTTCTGCGTCCACACTGCGCCGAACTTCTCGCTGCCGTGGCAGAGGAAGAAGCAGTACAGCTCCAGCAGTAGTGGGTTTGTGATTGGGGGCAGGATGATTTTGACCAATGCGCATTCGGTGGATCATCATACCCAGGTCAAGCTCAAGAAACGGGGCTCCGACACCAAGTATTTGGCCACTGTGTTGGCCGTTGGAGCGGAATGCGATATCGGTATGCAACAATTTTACATTTGCCTTTTGCAATTGCATAGTAATTCTTGAGGTGAATGCAGTTTAAAGTTTGCATCTTTTTGTCGATTTCGGGTTTGATTTACTTGGCGATGATGTTTTGTGTGCAACAATTTTACATTTGCATAGTAATTCTTTGAGTCTGGTGCAATTTAAAGTTTGTTACTTTTTATACTTTTGTGTTGCGATTTAAAGTTGGGAGTTTTAAGGAAAAGCCTCGGTACTGTTTATTTTAATGAAAAATCATATTGTTACACTAAAAAATCAAATATGATACTATTCATTTTACCCTTTATTTTGTGCTAATCGTTAAAACTCAAAGTTTTCAAGCCTTTTCATTAGTTTTCATTTTAAAGTTTGATGCTAAACTTTCAGCGATGCTTACGGTGAGTGATGATGAGTTCTGGGAAGGGATTTCACCTGTGGAGTTTGGAGAGTTGCCTGCACTGCAAGATGCCGTGACAGTGGTTGGGTACCCGATTGGGGGTGACACAATCTCCGTGACGAGCGGAGTTGTGTCGAGGATGGAGATCCTGCCTTATGTTCATGGCTTCACCGAGCTTCTGGGAATGCAGGTGGATACATTTTATATAGTTTCTTACCATGAAAAATTGAAAATGAAATTATGTACACCTGATTTCAGAGTCTTGACGCGTGTTTTCGGGGCACTTGTGGTGCGTTTTTGCAGATAGATGCTGCAATCAACTCTGGAAACTCTGGTGGCCCTGCCTTTAATGATAAGGGAGAATGCGTGGGAATTGCATTTCAGTGCCTCAAACATGAAGATGCGGAAAATATAGGCTATGTTATACCAGTACCAGTTATTATGCATTTCATTCGAGATTATGAGAAAAATGGGGCATATACAGGGTTCCCAATTCTCGGAATTGAGTGGCAAAAGATGGAGAATCCTGATCTTCGCATGTCAATGGGGATGAGACCTGATCAAAAGGGTATCCGTATTAGAAGGCTGGAACCTACAGCTCCAGAATCTCAACTGCTAAAGCCATCTGATGTTATTCTTAGTTTTGATGGGGTTAACATTGCTAGTGATGGCACAGGTAAACTCTCTCTCTCTCTGTGATTTTCAAAGACTGCTGTTCTCTTTTCAAGTCGCTTTTGTGTTCCTGCATGTGTTGGTAATGAAGTGTTCCATGAGCTTCTTGATATTCAGCAGTAACACTAATTTTTGTAATTTTTTTTAGTTCCATTCAGGAATGGAGAGCGCATAGGTTTCAGTTACCTTGTCACTCAAAAATACATACGTGACAATGCTCTAATAAAAGTTCTTCGGAACTTTGAGACACTTGAGTTCAACATTAAACTTGCAAAACACAAGGAACTCATCCCATCACACATCGAGGGAAAACCTCCTTCCTTTTATATCATTGCTGGATTCGTTTTCACAGCTGTATCTGTTCCATATCTGCGTTCTGAGGTGTGCCCTTGCTTTCAACTTTAACTATGCCTTTAATAATTTCTGCCAAATGTATCTAGGTTTAATTGTAAAACAAACATATTAGATAAATACTATGTTGCTAGATCTTAACCTTTGGTTATTTCTTATTTCCAGTTTGGAAATATATTTGACGTTCCAATCAAACTGTTAGACAAGCATTTACATGCAATGGCACAGTCTATTGACGAACAGCTCATTGTTGTTTCTCAGGTTTATATCTCGCATTCTATCTTTCTCATGCTTTTGGATATTAGTATAGTTTCTTGTTACCCTGGTTTTAACTTTTATTGTTGACATTGTTCAAAATTGTGCTAGGTACTTGTTGCTGACATTAATATTGGATATGAGGACATCGTTAACAATCAGGTCAGCGACTAGGCTTTTCCGTTTTTCCTTTCTTTATCTGATGCCGCAAATGATGGTCTAAGGAATCGGCGAAATAACATCTGATAGACTTGTGTAAATTATTTTGCTTTATGTGCAGGTTCTTACTTTCAACGGTATGCCTGTGAAGAATCTGAAGAACTTGGCCAGCATGATTGAGAATTGTGATGATGAGTACCTTAAGTTCGGCCTTGAATACAATCAGGTTCTTTTTATGTTTCTTTGTCTCATGTACACACAAATACATGGATATATGCATGCATGCTATGCATTTTTCTGTGGTTGGCTGAATTGTGAATTGCATACTTCACACGCAGATGGTTGTTCTGCAAACAAAAACTGCCAAGGCAGCAACGCTGGATATCCTCACGACACATTGCATATCATCGTCCATGTCCGATGATCTTAAGACTAAAGAGAATACTTTAGAGGAAGTACATTCTACGGCCGATGACCTTAGAGATACGATCTTAGAGAAAGTAGAGGCTGTCTACTTGCCTTAAGACTCGATTCAAAAGTTAGGAGCACACACAGAAGATCACTTTTCCTTTAGCTTTTTACACAGATGATTTTTAGGATCCTCTTCTAGGAACCATGTATAAAACTTATCCCGACCAAATTTCCGAGAAGTGAGATTACGGGATGAGTTCTTTACTTTCACTTTTAGTCGGAAAATATGTGATACTAAGGGTAAAAGGAAACAATGTCACTTTTACAATAGCATATTTTGGATTGTAAAAAAATTCTTAATCTTATGAAATAAAGATTACATTAGAAAGCTTTATACAAGTTAAAGTATCCTCCCTCAAATCATGTTATCCTTCCAAAGCTCTTCCTCAAGTCTCAAGTCTAGGATGACCTTGTAGAGTTTGACTTCGAGCTAGTTGTTACGTCCAATCCATCGAGATGAGGCGACTTCCAAGAATGAAAATCGCCGTTGAGTTCCATCCATAAACACATGTCGATTATTTTACTTAAGGGTCTCATTCCCCATCACTAATGTTGCATCATGCTTCTTACTTATAAGGAGCCAAGCAGTGTTCGATAAGGTGGGCTTTCCCTCATTGCATCTGCAACGTATGCTAATTCTCCAGCCACAAACAATCATATGGAAGATTTCTAGTAGGCAAATAGACGTTCGATGATTGACTGGACGTCTTGTTTTTTACTTTCATACATATGTACATCTGCAAATCTTTGATTTACTTTTCGTTTTTATAGTTTTGCAATAAAGGGGCCTTGTGGGTGGTAGATGGGGATTCCAGGCTAGTAGCTACAGGTTCTTCACCGACCTCTTCCTTTGTTTTTCCCCACAGTACAGTATAAAACCCAAAAGATATAATTGTTGCTCCAACTAGGCTGAAAAAAGGAAAAAATGGAGACATTTTACGCTGCACTCTCGCTAGTGGAAAAAGATAAAGGAGAGAGGAGTGCAAGATAACTATTTTAGAGTGTTAGTAACAACTCGTTGAAAGAAAAAAAAAGAGATTAGTTATGCTAACGAACCTTCCGAGATGAAGAGTGTCATGAAGGAACACAACGCCCATGACCACGGCAATGGCCATGGACAAAGGCTTGAACATTGTCACATAGACAGGTCCCTTCAAGCGCAGCACCCATGTGTGAACAGCATTGTTCAAAAACGACCCAAATAGCCCCTAGATATACAGAAAAATTGATACGATTAAGATGTAAGTCACACTATATAGGCACTGTTTTTTTTTTTTTTTTTTTACATTACAATTAGTTACTTACTGAGCAGAGTATGGAAAGCAATGCAATATTAGGTCTCAACTTCCAAGCGCTGGAATTTGGTTCTGTAATCAAAGCAACAAATGCAGATACGGCGACCACACAGACATTGTAGAAGAAGATGACGGTTAACTCATTCGGGTACTCTTTCATGATTTGTGCCTGCAAAAGTATTACTACTTTAGAATTAAGGCGGAACAAGAAGGATTCATGGTTTAAGGTTTAGGGTTTAGGGTCGGAAATAGAAGAATTCCAAATTTTTAGTTTTGGTTTAACTTAATTACCTGAACAATGTACCAAAGTGGTACCAATATGTACTCAGCTGTTAGCAGAAGGCCACCAATTATCCAATTTGAATTTGTTGCTGGTGGTGAGTTTAGGAGAGGTTGGTAAAGTGAAATAGATTGTGATCGATTAGCAAACACAATAGGAGGGCCCTTGTAGAGAGTCACCACAAATGCACCTGCAAGTGAAACTATTGTACCCAAGATTTTTGCTTGACTGCTTCGGCTTCTCAATGCTGTACTTTCCAGCCTTTTGGTGGGTAAAAAGGGGGGGAGGGGGGAGGGGGGGAGGGGGGGGGGGGGGGAGAGAGAGAGAGAGAGAGAGAGAGAGAGAAGTAGAAGTTAGTTGTTAATCATACACATGGTAAAATTTACAAGAATTCTATAGTAGATCAATGCATTGCATGCGTTGTTGAATTTAATGGTTGTATGCGTGATAAATATTCTTAGGGATTTTAACAAGCGAAACTGAGCTGCTTAAAATGCAATGTATACATTGATATATGCAAAGAGGACTCTAGCATCGTGGTGCCTTTTGGTAATATTACAATGTTAAGCATTGACTTACGCATGACATTATATTATTTGTCAAGTTCCGAGCAATGCATGTAAGTTTTTCTCCAATAACAAATGACAAGTGACCGTCATATGTACCCAAAGGAGAAATTTTTCAGTGTGCGGGGAAACATAGTCTAGTACACCAAGTGTCATAATACAATTAGTTGAAAAAAAAATTTCAAATATTCAACCCTTTATATTATAATATTTAGTAAATTCTATACCGAATAGTGTTTTCGGCATACTAAAAAAATATCTCGTACCCATAATTTTCCTCTTTTACCCACAACAAACTAGAAGTCCAAGTTCCAATTAACAATTATTTCTCTATGTTGAGTCTGCCCACTTGGAGCAAGAAAACAAAGTGGGGAAAGAGGGATTTGGATCTCATTGGGATTCAAATTGCAAAGATCATAGTGATCTTCACATTTTAATCATTTATTGTGCATCAAGCAATCATAAATTATTATTATTTTATTTAAAATTAAACATAAATAACACTGAAGAAAATTGATCGTACGGTGTATAATAAATATTAAAATATGGGGTTTTTAAGAATTTCCACAACGTGGATCCGGAGAAAATCGTCGGGAAAGAGTACAAGTGAAGAGGGCAAGTGTGGTGGACCCACGTTCCTCTGTTATCTTAATTTGAAAAGCACCTTTTTCTGGTCTCTTCAACTTTTTATAGAATGCAACGGCACAAACTAAGGCCGTTAGATTTTGGTTTTTTGTTTATGAGTAAACTGTCGATTTGCCCCCTGAACTATCACCCAATTTTCAATTTCCCCCCTGAACTTTTTAATTGGAAAATTAAGGACTTAAACTAATTTTTTTTGGCCAATTTCCCCCCTACAGTTAGTTTTTCATAGATTTCATCCAAATTAACGTTAACTCTTATCATGTGCAAACCACGTAACTCTCATTTGTGGACAAAAGTGTCATTTCACTAGACCTTTAGATACAAAAGCTATAGAATCACACATATTTGCATAGGTTTATATTTTAGAAATCTAAGCTTTTCAATTATTTTAAAGAATGAAGCGACCGAACTACCCACACATGTTGTGCATATGCTTCCATTTAACAAAAATTTGGATGGAATGAATGAAAAATTGACAGCAGGGGGCAAATCGGCCAAAAAAATTAGTTTAAGTCCTTAATTTTCCAATTAAAAAGTTCAGGGGGGAAATCGAAAGTTGGGTGATAGTTCAGGGGGCAAATCGGCAGTATACTCTTTTGTTTATATGCCCGTGCTTTAAGAGAGACTTTTTAGTGTGATCGTCAAATAAGATGATATAATATGTGTCTTCATATAAATGGTGGAATATGTATGTTAAAAGGTTAATAACTTAAAAATTAAAATTTTCCACCACTTACATAGAAACACGTAGTGTACCATTCGTATTCTCATCATAACTAAAAATTTCTCGTGCTATAAAGAATATTTCATTCCCCCCACCCAACAAAAATCTTGTGATCGTGTAACTTTGTCTCCTCTACCTTCATTCCCTGTCCCGTTCCGTCAAGTTAGTCAGGAAACGTGTTATCTTGCTTATTAAGGAACTGAAGCCAAAACGAAGAAAATACCGAGTTCCAAGCAAAACTTCAATTGCACATCAACCTAGTTAACGATTTTCTTAACCAATAGTAAAAATTAGGTATTATGGAACACGAAACTAAAGCACATGAAGCAAAGTCACACAATCGACAGTCTAAGGAGCAAGTGGAAAGTTCGACATATTCAAAGGGCATACAAATAAATAAGCCTATAAATTTGTCAACGGAGGGTGTTATGGTAACTGTGTGTGGGGAGAAAGAGGAGGTACCTAAAAATGATGGCAAGGATGAAAGTGAAAGCTGGCACAAGGTTGCTGATGGCTGAAGCAAGTGTTGGAGAGCTGTAGTTGATTCCTGTGTACCCCATGATCTGTGATGAACTCCTGCTCATCCCAAGAACACTAATTAGTATTAAATAGTTAAATAATTAGTACTCGAAATTTTAGCGGGGCGCTCATTTTTCTCATTCTACACATGCTTGTATATATCCATTTGTTTGATTTATTCAATCCGGAACGTCAGTGGCAGTAATAAATAAAGGTGTGCCATGTGAGAAAAAAAAATGCTGAAATCGCTTCGCAAAATTTATGCGTTGATATGATTGTACCCTATGAGTCCAAGAATAAGAATTTTAGACATGATGGAGAAGTTGAGCGGAGGAAGCACCCTTGATCTGCAGATTAAGAAATTATAGATGCATGTTAGATGAAATGATGAAGAGTTTGTTAATTTTGACCAATTATATTGTTTATAGTAAGACGGTATTCTAAACTGCTATAATTTATAGGATGAGGAAGAAGATTCGAACCTGCGGGAGATGAAGGGAGCTGGGATGAGAACAAAGGCAGCAACTGAGTAAGAGTAGACAACAAAGACATGGTAGCTCATTCCATTTAGAGTGGCAGCTTTGAAGAGAGTGTTTAGGCCGACGTTCATGCACTCCATTGTTACCATCGCCATGAACGGCAGCACATCTCTGTAACAAGACCTCCCTGCTGCTGCCATGGATGCTCCTCTCTCTCTCTCTCTCTCTCTCTCTCTAAAACTCAGAAGGAAACAGAGGGGATGCGATGGTAAAGTCAAATGAGTAATGGGTGTGGTCTGAGATCACAAAGCAGCATCCTCCTCCTTATGGTTGAAATATGGAAGATGATTGGCACATTAAGGTGTTTTCTTTGGTCACATGATGTGCAAATAATGGATGTATAAAAAATAATGGATGTATAAAAATATGGAAAAGTTAGGTTCTAATACTTATCAAAAGTTTAAAATACACAAGATTTCATCAAGGAAATGTCAAAGAAAATGTACACTTTCTTTGACATTTTCTTGACGAAATCTTGTGTGTTTTAAATTTTTGATAAGTTTTCTTGTGTGTTTTAAACTTTTGATAAGTTTTTTTATTTGTTTTCACATAAGCTTTTTGTATTATTTTACTATAAACACGAATTTAATTTAGAGTTTAACTCCTCTATTTCTGGCAATTAATTATCATCCTAAATTAAATCTTTTTTTATATAACTATTTTTTT